GACTTCACATTTGCTTATTTTTGACATTTATTAGAAGATAGCAGCACCCCTCACTATCTAAGCTGCACACGAGGAACTTGCAGTACTGTTCATAACCGCCGACGGTTGCCTACACGGAGGAATTTGGGACAACAACGCAGCAAGTGACTAGTGCAGCAGTTGATGGAGGTTTTTAATAGTTGGTGAGGGTGCAATAACATCAGTTTCTTTTGCATCTTTTGCGCCCTACAGACAGCCAGTCTCGCGTGGTCGAGGCGAACCGGTCACGGTTTGTTGTGGAATGCCTCGGGATGCTGCGGAGTGGGCCACAATTAATTGAAATAGGCTGCATAATGTTCAATAATCCTGGAAACCATAGCTTTCATACCATTCCACGGTCGCTGCATGGTGTAAGAGCACTGTGCTGCTGAACGAGGTCCGGTTGGACACCAGCTGCAGGCCGGCGTCAACTCAGCGATCATGGCAGAAAAACATGTATTTACTAGTCATTATAACATTCTTAATAAAGCATAACCAGGTTTTTGAATGAGAAATGGGCGCCCTTTTCCCTAGCAAAAAGCCTGTGCCTCGATGTCGGCAGTGGGAGTGCAAGACAAGCATATTTGCATTCGTGTTCTGCGAGCTCATTGCTTCGGTGTCAATGTGCCCCCACCATGTCTAGAATATTTTGTATTGTAATAACAATACGTATTGTTCTTTGTTCATTTGCCGTGTGCTGGGATCGCAAGAGGCCGCGCAACTCACTCGCAATGCACCGGCCTGCCCAGCAGGAAAAAGAACAGCGTCATATGCACCCTAGGCGCCGACTGCCTGAAAGCCGCTGCAACAAACAATAAGGTCATAGTTAATGCGATTTGAATAGGGTTAATATAACCTGATGATTCTTTGAGTTGCATCTAGGCTCGGTGTTCGACTACATAAACAACCATACGGTGACAATGGCGCCTCTCAAACTGCTCACAGTCGTCAGTTCCTCGCTCTTCTTCCTGGCCAAAGCGAACGGCGAGCCCGCAGCCCAAAAGACAACTTATACAGTAGACTTGGGTAAGCTTGCCAGTAACAAGTGTTCTCTGCCTGGCATATCTCCTTGGCTGGCAAGAAGCCATCACCTGTCAAGGCCACCGTAGTTTTCCAAACAAGGCACAACCCGTCAGACGAACTTGCAGGCTTCCTGCGAATTCAAAAGTTTCAGTGTAACAGGTTATGAATGCAAAGCCTTCTCCACAAATGCACGGTAATCTGCTCTCTTTGCCGCAGGAAGCGAAGGAAAGTGCCTCGCCGAGGTCAATTCTGCTCGCGTGGCAGCTGGTTTCAGCGAACTCGCACAAGCAGCGAAACCAACAAGCAGGCTGCCTAAAGGAGGTACTTTTCCAGAAGCCGATGAACCTGATTGGGCCTGGAAGCCTGTGTGCGAAGCCTTGATTCCAGTACGTTGTGTACATCTCTAACTTCCCTCCAAAGGGCATTTACATCTACTGCGTGCGCAAATCACTTCGGTGTTTGTCCATTCTCCTTCTGCCTCCAGACCACAGAAAAATCGAGAAGTACTAGAAATTCTGATGATGCAGCTGATTTCCAGAGCGGCACATACGCATACCTTCCGATTGACGATGCCGATTCCGTCGACTGCAAGGCCGTTGTGGATAAGTGGA